ATTTAATTATAGTAAACCAAAATGTATGTGTTCTAGGATGTAGACTCCAGCAGCCACACCACCTTAGCAAGGCATTATTTTCCTTCTCTCTGTACCACCCATGGCCTGGCCAAGTGCACTGCTGTCCCTGTGCCCTCCTGGGATGGTGTCTTGCCTGGAAATAGGGCATAACCAGTAAGTACCTCATTTCCATCTAACCAGACTAAAAGAGTGAGGCTCTTCGCTAAACCAGACAATGGCCTGATTCACTCTTTTATGTTTCAAAGTTAATACTTTTTTTCCTAGGAATATATCCTAAGAATCCTGAAACACCAATCAGAAAGAATATATGCATCCCTTTGCTCATATCAGTGCTATTTACAATAGCTAAGATCTAGAAACAGCTCAAGTGCCCATCAGTAGATGAGTATACATAATGGAATATTATGCAGCTGTAAAAAAGAAGGATCTCTTACCCTTTGAGACAGCATGGAGGGACTTGGAGAGTATTATGCTAAGCAAAATAAGCCAGTCATAGAAAGACAAGTATCACATGATCTCACTTATATGTGGAATCTCAAGGCTAATATTTTTTAAATGGACTTCATAGACCAAGTACTAGTCGACGCTCTTCATATCCATACATGCAATCCTCAAAACCCTACGAGATATAGGTATCTTTACAGTAAGAAACTGAGGTCCAGACTCAATAATTTGTCCATGGACACACAGGTAGTATGTGACAAAGCTGAGATTTGAATCTAGGCAGCTCTGACTCAGGAATCCACCTAATCACCTCACTATGCTCCCTGGTGCTATCTAAACTAGTAACATTAAAGTCTTTTTCCCCAAAGAACATGGGTACTCTGAACACAGAGTACTTTATGAGTTCATGCCAGCTCTGATAAAAGAGCTTTTTCCTGCCTTGGTCAGCATGGCCCATACACTGAAAGGTTGCGGGTTCAAATCTCCATCTAGCTGAGTACAGGAGGCAACTGATTGATGTTTCTCTCTCAGATTGTTTCTTTCTCTTTCTCTCTCTCCCTTCCCCTTTTACTAAAATCAATAACAGAATCCTCCAATTGCAGCTGAGTAGATAGCTGCCCAAAATAAAGACTTTAAAAGCCTCCCTTGAAGCTAAGAAACAACAGGCCAAAGTGATATCAGTAAAAGGGTGTGCACAGTTATTGAAAAGCATCCTTAAAGGATGTTGGTGCATTCTGTCGTCTCCATTTTTCTCTTTCTTGGGTGTTGGAATGCAGATGTAATAGCTGGGTATGAAGCAGCCATGATTTATGAAGCAACGTTAATATAAGAAACTTAGTTTCCTGACACCATAGGGTACCATACAAGGCCCTGTCCACCTTTTGGATTTTTACATGAAAAATAAACTTGTACTTTTTTAAGCCACTGTTATTTTGATTTTTCTGTCACTTGTGGACAGTCCTGGTGCTTTCTGATGCATTCCTTCCCTACTACTGAATTCTCTTTGTCATTTCAACTAGTATGCTCTTTGGGAATATAGGTTCTGGTACTGTACTTTACAGTAACAAAATATTTAATGACTGACCCAGATTTCAATGAGATTATTATATAATTCTAGATGGGTCACTCTTTTTAATATTTCTTGGGGGTGGAATAAAATGGTAGTTGAAGGCTCTCAATAAAAGAAGCCAAAGAAAATATAATTTAGATGTTCTCAGAGTTACTGCTTTTCTCTGTTTTTAGCTGTAATGCTAGAAATTAACTCAGGGGATATTTGGGAAAATATTTAATCAAACAGGATATTGCCCTGGCTGGGTCGCTCAGTTGAATGAAGCACTGTCCAGTACACCAAAAGGCTGTGAGTTTAATTCCTGATCAGGGCACATACCTAGGTTGGGGTTCAATCTCCAGTCAGGGTATGTACAGGAGGCAACCTATTAATGTTTCTCTCACACATTAATGTTTCTCTCTCTCTCTCTCTCTCTCTCTCTCTCTCTCTCTCTCTCTCTTTTTCTCTGTCTCTAAAATCAATAAACATATCCTCAGGTAAGGATTAAAAAAAAAAAGGAAACAGGATATTATCCAGGTATACAAAATTCTACCCATTAGTCTGTATTACTGAATAAAGATTAAAAAAAAAAAAAAAAGAGTGAGATCTTGAAGGGGTGGATAAGATTTCTAATTACTTTAGCAATCAAATGGGTGTAACTTGTTAGAGGGAACAACTTTTTCTACAGTTTTCCTCTGGTTTCTATGAGGAGGCTTCTCTGTAAACACATTCCTGTACTCCTGGTCTTTCTCATTTTAGTTGCTCTTCAGGACATGGAGGACTTATCTAATTGAAACAGTTTGGAAGAATGACTGGGCTGTATGGCTTAGCAAGTGTCTTCTCCTCTCAAGGGAAATTTATCCAGGGAGTACAAACTATACTTTGCCAATGAAGACAAACAACGTGCAGGCAGGTCAAGTATTTCCCTATTCAGTTCCATTTACCTCTGACTCAATTACAACAGGAAGGTGTACAACCCACACGAGAGGTGCACCTTAAGGGCCCAACTAGGGTAATCAGGGAGACGGTGCCACTGGACCCTACTACAAATACCACCCTACAAAGCCTAGAAGACATAGCAACTCCACCTAATACATAGAAAGAAACACAGGAGGCAAGGAGGAAGCCAAAATGAGGAGACAAAGAAACATGATCCAAATGAAAGAAGAAAACAAAACTCCAGGAAAAGAACAAAATGGAGATAAGCAATCCAAAAGGTGTAGAGTTCAAAACACTGGTTATAAGGATGCTCAAGGAACTTAGTTAAAACCTCAAGAACATAAAAAAGGACCAGTCAGAAATGAAGGATGCACGAACTGAAATAAAAATTTATAGGGAATCAATAGTAGAGTAGGTGAAGCCAAGAAGTAAACCATCGATTTGGAATATAAGGAAGCAAAAAACACACAATCCAAACAGCAAAAATAAAAAAGAATCCAGAAAAATGAGGATAGTGTAAGAAGCCTCTGGGACAACTTCAAGTGTATCAACATTAACATCATGGGGGTGCCAGAAGGAGAGAAAGCAAGACATTGAAAATCTATTTGAATAATGACAGAAAACTTCCCTAACTTGGTGAAGAAAATAGACATACAAGTTTGGGAAGCACAGAATTTCCCAAACAAGATGAACCCAAAGAGGCCCACACCAAGACACATAATTGAAATGCAAAAGGTTAAACACAAAACCGAAAATCTTAAAAGCAGCAAGAGAAGAGCAGTTAGTTACCTACAAGGGAGCTATTATAAGACTGTTAGCTGATTCCTCAAAAGAAACTTTTAAGGCCAGAAGGAAGTGGCAAGAAATATTCAAAGTGATGAAAATCAAGGACATACAACCAAGATTACTCTACCCTGCAGTCATCATTTAGAATTGAAGGACAGATAAAGAGTTTCCCAGATAAGAAAAAGCTAAAGGAGTTCATCACCACCAAACCAGTATTATATGAAATGTTGAAGGGTGTTCTTGAAGATCAAAAATATGAACAATAAAATGGTAATAAATACATATCTATCAACAATTGAATCTACAAACAAACTGAATAGGCAGAACAGAAACAGACTCATAGATACAGAGAACTTTTTGTTGGATGCCAGATGAGAGAGTGGTTGGGGGAAGGGCAAAAAAGGTGAAGGGATTAAGAAGTACAAATTGGGCCCTGGCCGGTTTGTCTCAGCGGTTAGAGCATCAGCCTGCAGACCGGAGAGTCCCAGGTTTGGTTCCCGGTAAGGGCATGTACCACTCAATGTGTCTCTCTCATGTCGATGTTTCTCTCTTTCTCTCCTCCCCACCTCCCCCTGCTCTATCTGAAGATAAATGCAGAAAAAAAATAGTCCTCGGGTGAGGATAAAAAAAAAAAAAAAAAAATTACAAATTGGGCCCTGGCTGTTTGGTTCAGTGGTTAGAGTGTCAGCCTGTAGACCAAAGAGTTGCAGGTTCAATTCTGGTCAAGGGCACATAACTCGGTTGCGATTCAACTCCTGGTCAGGGTCATGGGGGAGGCAACCAGTTGATGTGTCCCTCTCATGTTGATGTTTCTCTCTCTATCCCCCTCTCATTCATCTGAAGATAAATGGGAAAATATCCTCTGGTGAAGATTAAAAAAAAAAGTACAACTTGGTTGTTAGAATAAGGAACCTCAAAGGGAAGGGGGACACAAAGAGGTAAACCAAAGAACTTATATGCTTATATGCATAAGGAATGGACACAGAGAATAGTGTGGGGAAGGCAGGAGGGGTGTGGGAGCGAGCAAGGAGGAAGGGGGTCAATGGGAGAAAAAATGGAGGACATCTATAATACTTTGAACAATAAAGATAAGTTTAAAATAAAAAAATAAAAATAAAATTTTAAAAGAGATTTTAGATTTGAACCTGATACTTAACATTGCTAAGTCAATTGTATGTGGTGACTGAGTTGAATAATGGTTATGCAAAAATGTTGTGACTTTATTAACTGAACACTAGCCATGTGCACAGGCAAATAGGTGGAGAGAAGAGGCACAGATCACATTTGGAAAAATAAGGACACCTGCAAGCTGATTCTGAATATTTTTTACACTTGGGATCTGAGCCAATGAGATAAGATAAGTGGATCCAAGGCTCAAATATAAACTGTGAAATGAGGGCCACTGTGTACTCTCTCAGGGGTCTGTAATTGCTATTCTGCATAGCACTCTCTTCCAGTGAGACCTACTGCTTCTCAGACCTGGGTCCTATGTCAATTACTAGGTGATTTTAATTTCATTTATTCATTCAACCAAAATCTACTGAATGTCTACTATGCTAAGTGCTACTTCCCATTAAATGATTGTTATACATCTTCCTGATAAAAGAGGGGAAGAAAGAAAAAGAGAAAATAATGATTTAGGGGGTTGTTTAATCCATGCAAGAAATAACAAGTATTTCTGAAACAAACATGAAGATATATTTGTGTTTTATTCAGAATGAATTAAGTGAAAAATGGGAAAAAAAAAATCTTTCACCAGTACCTGTATCCTAATTCTTCACTAAGATGGATCATGTGAAGGATATATGATTCTTTGCTTGTTCCGGTGAGGCCGGGTAACAATAAGATGGTAGGTCTGGTGCTGGCATCCATATAACTCTTACTGTTATCATTATGAAACCAGTCCAATGAAATCTGTCCTCCATCTGCAGTTTTAATAAGTTCACTAAAAGAGATAATTCAAAGACATATTCATTCAGTGTTTCAAGTTAAGTCTTAATTTTATAAATATATGACATTATTTGTTCATCTCAAAATAACTTTTTCAGCACTCACTAACACACACTTATATCACTTTCTTTCATTACAAGACTGTTATGAAATTAGTACCACAAAGTATTTCCAGCAATACCAGTAAAGGAGATAGTATATAAAATGAACTTCAAAGTATTTCAAGTATTAATCTTAATCATTTCCTCATTTCTCTAAAATACCCAACATTTAACCCCTATTTGATTGAGGCCACCCAAATAATTCAACAGGGAATTATGAATAAGTAAAATGCTGATCTGATCACCTCTCTGGCTGTTTGACTCAATAAGAGAGTCTCCTCATAGAGTCTATTACAAAATTTTCTTCTTAAAGTACTTCTCACATAGTATCTATAAACATATAGAATTTTCCCAGACAAATAGTGCAAGTTCCAGGCAATAAAAGAACTCCAGAAAGACTAGATGACTCAGGGAAATTAATAACAGGCACCATTTAAACCTCCTGGTTACTGATATATTCTGGATCATATCTTTACCATCTCAAGGACATTATCATCAATAACACATTTCCTTATTAACATGAAGTCCTTTAATAGGGGTCCATCACACAAAAATCCAAATTAATCCTCTCACCCCCTACCCTTATCCCCAGTATCAGGGAACTGGTACATATCATCAAAGGATCTAGTCCTCAGGGGCAAATGCGTGATGAATTTGGAAAAAAGTAATCCCCAAACACTTCCTACATCCTAGAAATAAACCATTTACACCAAAGTACAAAAAAAAAAAAAAATGGTGAAAGGCAATACCTGAACATTTTCCTGCAGCTGGGTGTGGGGCGAGGGGCATGCTTTCCATTTTCATTCCTCCTTTTATATACTTACTAAACCAGAGGTTCTATTAATCAAGAACTGGCAGTATGCAAAAAACTGTGATTTTGGAGATATGACTGAAAGTGAAAATGTACTTACTTCCTGTACTGCACTGGGGGCTTGGAAGTGATGAAGGGTCTCAGCAGTGTCTGTCCTCTACTCTCCCAGCACCAGACCGTTGGGTAGTATGTTTCTGTCACCACGGGACAGTGGTCCTGAAGGAAGCGGCTGAAACTCTCACCCCCTGTCACTAACTGGGGCTTCTGTGGGGAAAGCCAGTCTCAGTGAAGGATCCAGAATGGAGCAAAGTTTCTGCCAACCGTAAACCATAACCGACCAGACTACCCTCGCGCTCGCGATTCCCCGGATTACTGGAAGCCTGACGCAAATAAATTTAGTCACAACGGACTGAAAGAGTGGGTTATCAAATCCCTCCAAGGGAAAGGCGAGAGCTGAAATTCGGCATTCTAAAAAGTGCTACAGCATTCCCGAGCAGCTTCGCTGGGGTAGACAATAGTGACAGGGTAGCGCGGCGCGCGCCGAGGTCGGAAGGTCCGGGCTGCGGTCGGCGGACCTGGGCCGGACCACAAGCAGGCGGACAGGGGCTGGCCCGCTTTCCCGCGCGCGCTCCAAGGGTGCTCAGCAGATGCCCGGGGAAGGGAAACACCAAGGAGCAGCATGCTCGCCCCCAGGACGGCCCGCGCCAACTCGCTCCTGCCAGCGACAAGCCTCTGGCTACGCCCCATGCTGTAGCTCCCCGCAAAGCCGCCAGTGGCCCTTTGCCTCGGCGCCCGCACCCCCCCTCGGCTCACCTTGGCAATGCTGCTCAGGTATAAGCAGGCATAAGCAACGCTGAAGCCTAGGATCAGGGAGAAGCCCACTCCCGAACCGAAGAACCCAACCCGGACTTGGTGCTCCAGGTAAAGGGACAACTCCCGGGATAGCATCCGCAGATCCATGGCTAAAAGCTGCATGGCTCGGGGAGCGCCACGCGCAGGTCCTTCGGAGAGAGGCGGGCCGGCGGGCCGGCGGGCGAGCGGGCGCGGCGCCGCGGCAGACCCTAGAGCAGAGTGTCTCCAGCCCGGCAGAGCTCTGCTTCCGCCAAGTGGCTCGGCGGAGCGGCCCTGGGAGATGTATCTATCCCTGCCCGCCCGACGCCGTCGGCTCCGCCCCGGCTTCCTCCGAACCGCCCCCACCACCAGCCACTCAGCAACATTCGAGAGGCGCGGCTACAAACCCCGCTACCCGGAGGGCTAACAGGATTCTCCCGGCCAGGTCTCAGTCAGCCTGGGTGCACCCCAAAAGTGGGAAGAGCGTGGGCGCCGACTTCGGAGAAGGAAATGGGCCCGGCAGTGCACCTGTCCCAGTGACCTTGAATGATTCCGAGAGGCGGTGGGTCTCCATTCATTCTTTCTGTAAACTACCAGTTTAAAGTGCCTAGAGTGTGTGTTGGAGTCAAAGATTTTGGAAGTTAATGTTAAATATATGTTAGGAGAAAGCACTCACTACATAGTGGAAAAAAATTCTACATCCTGGCACTGGAATCCTGGGCTGGGGGCTTGGTGTGTGGGCTGGAACCCCTTGTTCCTTCGGGGGAAACTCTGCAGCCAAAACATCTCCAATTATCCCTCTCTCGGTGTCCATGCCATTGTGCAATCTCTTTCCCTTGAGTACAGATAGGACCTGTGACTTAGTTCTAACCAAAAGAGTATTAAAAGGTAATGGGGTGTCACCACTCCTGTGATTACATTATGTTATATGACTCTAGCTTAGTACATTGGAGCTAAAAGCTTTCCTGCCCACCTTGAGGAAACAAACAGCCATAACAATTGCCATGGACAGGGCCACATAGTAGAAAACTAGTGGTGGCCTCTAGCCGACAACCAACAAAACGATGGGGCCCTCAGACTCACAACTCAAGGAAATAAATTCTGCCAACACCCTGAATGAGTTTAGCTGCAGATTCCTCCCCAGTCAAGCCTCAAATAAAAACGCAGCCTGGCAACGTCTTGTCTATCCTAGAGAGACCCAGAGCAGAGGACTCAGCTGAAGTTGTGCTTGGACCCCTGACCCACGGAAACTGTTAGGCGATAAATATGTGTTTTTTAAACTACTAAATGTGTGGTAATTTGTTATGCAGCAATAGAAAACTAATAGAGAATATATAAAGATCCTACAAAAGCATTAAAAGAATAATAAGTATAAGTGGCTCATTTTTTGCCTACCAATGTGTTTACTGCAGGAAGATTTCAGCTCCCTAGCGGGAACTGAACCCGGGACTCTCTGGTCCGCAGGCCGATGCTCCAACCGCTGAGCCAAACCGGTCAGGAATGTTTCCCCTTTTTTAAAAATATGGAAACGCTTCACGAATTTGTACGTCATCCTTGCACAGGGGCCATGCTAATCTTGTCTGTATCTTTCCAAGTTTAGTATATATGCTGCCAAAGCAAGCACCTGAGGATATATTTTTTAATTAATTTGAGAGAGAGAGAGAGACATTGATTGGTTGCCTCAAGTACTTGTCCAAAAACCCAGGTATGTGCCCTGGCTGAGAATTGAACCCACAACCTTTTGGTGTATGGGAGGACACTCCAACCAACTGAGCCATTCAGCCAGGGCTATATATCACTTAAAAAATTTTTGTTTCTTTATTGATTTTTAGAGAGAGAGGAAGGGGAAAGGAGAGAGAGAGAGAGAGAGAAACATCAATGAGAGAGAACATCAATTGGCTGCCTTCTGCATGCTCCCCACTGAGGATTTGGCCCACAACCTGGGCACGTACCCTGACCGGGAATAGAACCAGCGACCTCTTGGTGCATGGGTCGACACTCAACCACTGAGCCACACTGGCTGGGCTATACATCACTTTTTAAAATAGTTATCATTGCCCTGGCCGGTTTGGCTCAGCAGTTAGAGCGTTGGCCTGCAGTCCAGTGAGACCCGGGTTCGGTTCCCACTAAGGGCATGTATCTCGGTTGCAGTTTGTCCCCGGCCCTGGTTGGGTCGTGCGGGTGGCAGCCAATGTATTACTTTTTTGTTGTTGTTAATCCTCACCTGAGGATATTTTCCCATTGATTTTTTTTTTTTTTTTTTTTTTTTTTTAGATTGAGTGGAAGGGAGAAAGAGGAGAGAGAGAGAAATATCAATGTGAGAGAGACATTTTGATTGGTTACCTCCCGCATGATACTGACCTGGGCTGGGGAAATCAAACCTGCAACACAGGTGTATTCCTTTAACTGAGAATTGAACCCGTTACCCTTTGGTCTACAGGCTGCTGCCCTAACTGCTGAGCCAAACTAGGCAACATTTATTATTTTAAAAACTTTTAAAAACATTTTAATTTTATTTTACTTTTTCCATTACTATTTATACCCTGTATGCACTCTCCCATGCCCCCTGCAATCACCACATTGTTGTCCATGTTCATGAGTTCTCTCTCTTTTTTTCCCTCAATCCCTCTATACACCCCCAAGCCCTACCCCCTATCCCAAGCTGTCTTCCTGCTCTCCCTCTATGAGACTGTCTTTATTTTGCTTGGCAGTTCAGTTTGTTCATTAAATTCCACATATGAATGAAATCATATGGTACTTGTCTTTCCCTTACTGGCTTATTTCACTTAGCATAATGTTCTCCAGGTCTATCCATGCTGTTGCAAAGGGTAAAAAAAACAAAACAAAAAACAGTTATTACTTTTTAAACAGTAAAACCGTTATTATTATTTTTAAATACAAAGCTAATTTTAAAGGAGTAAATCACACGAAAACATACAGACAAATGTAAGAAAGGGCAAAACATTCTAAAATGTAATGGGAAACATGTTTTTCTTTTTAATTAAAACATTTTTTTTTCTCTTTATTGATTTTAGATGAGAGGAAGGGAGAGGGAGAGACAGATAGAAACATAGATGAGAGAGAATATCAGTTGGCTGCCTCCTGCATGCCCCCCACTGGAGATTTGGCCCACAACCTGGGCATGTGCCCTGACAGGGAATCCAACCAGCGACCTCTTGGTGCATGGATCGATGCTCAACCACTGAGCAGCAACGGTCGGGCAGAAACAAGTTTTAAATAGGAACACATCTTCACAAATTTTGTGTAATATGCCCTGGTTCTTTTTATTGAGAAATAACATTTAGAAACCAAGATCTGGGCACTGAGTCTTGTCATTTGTACTGGGGTGTCACTGTGCTTAGGCTCTCTCAGCTGACAGAGCTAAATAATGTATCTATGTATACTAACCCAGATAGATAGATAGTTGTTTCTGTATGTATCTATATTATTTACATTAAATTAAAGATTAGTTTGGAGTCTAACTCTTATGTGAACTCCCTGAGGGTTTTCAGGAGAAATTAAACCTCTTAATTAGCAATGTTCTGTTTCTTTTCTTTTCTTTCTTTTTTTTTTAATTTTTGGATAAAACAAAATCCTATCTTTGTTGGGAAACACCCATATCCTTAACCTTCTCAAATCAGTAACAGATATCAGGCAGAAGACAGAATGGTTTATAATTACAGAGAATGCCAAAACTGCAAAACTATGTCACATACTTTAATGAAACAAAAAAAAATTTAGGTTATATTCAACTAAAAAAAATATTGCATTTCTACATGGATTGTTATAAAAAATTGCCGATTTCACCAAATTATTTATTAATAAAACACTGTAACCCCAAACTCCTCAGTTCTGATACTTATCATTGCACTAGTTATAGCTCTATCTTTATTTTTTATTTTTATTTTTTTTATCCTCACCCGAGGACGTTTTCCCATTTTTTGTTCAAATAGAGTGGGAGGGAGAGAGGGAGGGAGAGAAACATCGACATGAAAGGGACACTTCGAGTGGTTGCCACCCACACGACCCAACCAGGGCTGGGGACAAACTGCAACCGAGGTACATGCCCTTAGCGGGAACCGAACCCCGGTCTCTCTGGACCGCAGGCCGACGCTCTAACTGCTGAGCCAAACCGGCCAGGGCTATAGCTCTATCTTTAGCACTGACAATTCCTAACACTGACAAAGCCCAACCTTAGCACTAACAATCTGATTTCCAACTGATTGATTTCTTTGGGAGGAGCACTGTACCCTAAGAACTGAGGCCAGAGTAAAATAAGAAAGAGCTCAAGAAACAGGTAAAAAGTCATGTTGGAAAGGAGGAATGTACATGTGGGACCCTCATGTGGAGACCTAGGGAGGAAGCAAGTTGAACTCCTTGAAGGTATAAGAAGTGGTCAAGAAGGCAGGTAAGTTTGTGGTCCCCATTTCCCGGATTCTATTTTCAGTTTGTACTGTTTAAACTAATCACAGGAGTCTTGAACAAAAATCTGCTTAAAGCTTGTCCTGGCCAGTGTGGCTCAGTTGGTTGAGTGTCGTCCCATGTACTGAAAAGTCACTAGTTCAGTTCTTGGTCAGGGTACATGCCCAGGTTGCTGGCTTGATCCCCAGTGGGGTTGCTTGGGGAGGCAGCAGATCAATGTTTCTCTTTCACATAGATGTCTCTCTCTCTCTCTCGTTATCCCTTCATCTCTCTCTAAAAATCAATAAAAAACATTTAAAATTTGCTTAAAGCTTTTCTCAGGGTTAATTTGTGTTTATTACATTTGGGTATGGAAGACAAGTAGTATCCATAACAGGGAGATAAATTAGCCTGCTTTGTCCAAGGTAACTGGAGTCATTTGGGAATACCTTCCTGTGGAGAGGATTAATTTACAGGTTGTAACCCAACTGTAGGAACATAAAGTTTATGCTTCCCTTCCTACATCTAGGGAAAAGTCAAAGTCATACTTTGTGTAAGGTAGAATGATATACAGACAGAAAGAAAGGAAAAGAAAGAGAAACTATCATATGAGTTACAATCGAAATGTTTGAGATCAAAATTGTCTTTTTTTTTATTCCTTACCCGAGGATATTTTTCTATTTATCATTAGATAGAATGGGAGGGAGGGAGGGAGAGAGGGAGAGAGGGAGAGACAGACAGAGAGAAACATTGATGTGATGCACATCGACTGGTTGCCTCCCATATGACCCAACAAGGACCAGGACGAACCACAACCAAGGTACATGTCCTTGACTGGAATTGAACCCAAGACTCATTGGCCCTTGGGCGGATGCTCTAACCACTGAGCAAAACTGGCCAGGGCCCAAATGATCTTAATAGAACTTATATATAATTCCCCTTCAAAGATGCAGCTTTCTGATCATATGTAGTTGGAAAGAGAAATATTTTTGGCCACCTCAAAATTTGTGAAAACACCTTGCCTTGTTAATTCCTAAATAGCTTGTTTATAAGTAAATGTACTCATTGGAGACAAGTGGCATGGTCATGTGAAACACTGCAAGAATGTGCTAAAATCGGTTCTTCAGTAAGGTAATTCATTTAAGTAAAAAAAAAAGGAAAAAAGAATAGTTTGTTCTTAGCTGTATACCTCCAAACTTACCTGTATACACACTTGTGTGACAGATGAGATATGGTAGGAGTGGGATGAGACCCAAACACAGGTGAAGGCAGTGTCCTTTCATACCTATAGTAGGAAAGATCTCAACTTGTAGTAAGTAGAATTTTAAAATATCCTCCTCCTGATATACAAACCCTTATATACTTCCCTCATCCTGAGTGTGGGTGGGACATGTGAGTATCATTCCTGTGATTGTTACATTATATGACAAAGGTGAAATGATTTTGCAGATGTAATAAAGGTCCCTAATCAAATGACTTTAAGTTAATCAAAAGGGAGGTTAGCTTGGATATGCATGACCTAGTCAGGTGAGCCCTTTACAAGAGGGCACAGGGGTCAGACATGAAAGAAGTCAGAGACTCTCTTCTGCTGGCCTTTAAGTAAAAGGCTCTGCCCTGGCAGGTGTGGCTTAGTGGTTAGAGCATTGGCCCACACACCAAATGGTTGTGGGTTTTATTCCCAGTTAAGGGCATGTGCCTGGGTTGCAGGTTCGATCCCCCGCACCAGTCAGGGCACGGTTGGGAAACAACCGACCGATGATAACGCTTCTTTCTTTCTTTCTTTCTTTCTTTCTTTCTTTCTTTCTTTCTTTCTTTCTTTCTTTCTTTCTTCCTTTCTTCCTTTCTTCCTTTCTTCCTTTCTTCCTTTCTTCCTTTCTTCCTTTCTTCCTTTCTTCCTTTCTTCCTTTCTTCCTTTCTTCCTTTCCTTTCTCTTTCTCCCTCTTTCTCTTTCTCTCTCTCTCTCTCTTTCTCTCTCTCTCTCTTTCTTTCTTTCTTTCTTTTTCTCTCTTACCCTCTCTCCCTCCCTTTGATTCTCTCTAAAAATATATGCAAAAAATATCCTTGGGTGAGGATTAACAACAAAAAAGGAAACAAGACTCCATGAAATCTACAGCTTCAAAAAATGAGCTTTCTTTTAAATCATTTAAAAATTTTTTCTTTCCATTAGTTAATCCTCACCCAATAAATCTCATACCCATCTGACACTATACTTAGTTATTAGAA